CTTATCTGTATCCCTGTTGTGCTTTATGTAAACATAGAACTTGGATTTTTACTCTTTTTTTCCCAATTGACTAGAAATCCATGGGTTTCTTTCCCTGCTTGTGCCCTTAGATGGACCGTGGATCTCCCAAACTTGTGTGTGCCTTTGGCATGAGCTCCAAGTCACTGGGAATGCTTTGTGCTGCAACTCACCCTGGTCACAAAAGGAAAAACAAGGAAAGCAAAGCTTCTGCCCCCAAGGGCATCACAAAAACACTGATCCAGCTGTGAAGGTCTTTCTCACACCATTTTTTTAGGAATGCAGCTCAAAGATGCCTGTGTTCTCGCTTCCCATTTTTCAGCTGTTCTCCACAATGCAGATCCTTCTGGGAGCTGTCATGGGATTGTTCATGCTTCTATGTTAACCTTGGAGGGTTGTTTTATCATCTGTTGCAGGTAACAGCTCCTGCTGCTGCTGCTCATCCCTCTTGTGACAGGGTTGGGACTTTTGCAGAAACTCAGAATGAAACACAGAGCACAGACAAGAGTTTTCATTTCTGAGCAATGAAAGGGATCTCCTGGACTTCACAGAATTACAGAATCAATTTGGTTGGAAAAGGCCTCTGAGATCACCTAGTCTGATCTGTGACCAATCCCCCCCACCTTGTAACCCAGCCCAGAGCACTGAGTGCCACATCCAGGCATTCCTTGCACACCTCCAGGAAAGGGGACTCCACCACTGCCCTAGGCAGTCCTGTCCTGTTCAATATATGACCACCCTTTCCATGGAGAAATTCCTTGTGATGTCCAACTTGAACCCTGGGAGCAGAGCCTGACCCCCACCTGGCTGCTCCCTCCTGTCAGGGAGTTGGAGAGTGACTTGTGCAGCTGGAGGGATCATCTTTGGCCTCCTTTAAAGACCAAATAGGAACGGCTCAATACCTTTGGTTTCTTTCCAAATGTGTGACTAGTTTGGATATCCTGGCTATCATCCATGGAGGAACGCAAAGCCCAGGAAGCTGCCAGCTCTATTCCTCTCTGTGTGCTAGTGAAAGTACCCACAGCTTTACCCACTGCTCATTCCATGGGCCGGAAGCCACTGCAGAAGCCTCTGGATGGATGTCCCAGTGTCACCCACCCCTTTCATCTCTTTTGGGGGGCCAGAAGCTGTTCAGAACAATTTATTATGGTCCATTCTCTCCTGTGAGAGAGATGAGACCCTGGCACAGGTTGCCCAGAGCAGCTGTGGCTGTTCCATTCCTGGAAGTGTCCAAGGCCAGACTGGACAGGGCTTGTAGCATCCTGGGATAGTGGAAGGTGTCCCTACCTATGGCAGGGCTGGGTGGAATGGGATGAGCTTCAATGTCCCTTTCCACCCAAATCAGTCTGGGATTCTGGGATTCTTTGAACTTGATGATCTTAGTGGCCTTTTCCAATCATAAAGATTCTCTGATGAGGGAAAAGAGACCAGGTCAGGACATGGCTAAAAGAAAGGCAAGAGCTGAGAATTAGTGAAGACTCTTGGAAGGGAGCAGGAATAGTCTTGGCAGTCAAGAGAACTGAGAACTGAGAACTGGTTAATAAACAGAAGAGCAGAGTTTCAGTACGTGTGTTAGGGACAAACTGGGAAGATGCTCAAGGAATGATATAACTCCTGCTGTACCCTCATTTGCAAATTCCCTCAAGTCTGAACCAGCAAGTTAAATAAAGAGCTCCTTTCTTCCCTCCAGATATTTTAATGAAAAGATGGCAAGCTTTGAGCATTAAGAAAAAATTTAAATCCTGACTTGCTTGCCCGTGGTGTTGAAGAAGGGCTCACTGCTGAGGATCTCCACTTTCCATAGAGGATTAAAAATCACCCAGGATTAAAATCACCCACTTTCCATAGAGGATTAAAAATCACTCCACTTTCCATAGGATTAAAAATCACCCAGCAGCAAGTTCCAAGCCTGAGAGAGTCAGAAAGGAAGGCAGGACTTTTTACAAGACCTTCCCAAGCTCTTGTAAAAACAAATCCTTCTCCAGGACCTGCTGTCCTCTGGCACCAGCATCCTTCAGATACACAGAATTTGGATTAAATACACTCTCTGAGTTCACTGCTTTTCCCTCTGCATCCAGACCAGGCCATAAGGAGCCTGTCCAGCCTCCAAGAAGAGAGCCTGGGGACACGGAGACATTCCCAGGAGCCTGCAGGGATAAGGATGCATGGAACAGGAGGAGGTCTTGCCTGCAGAGGAATGGGATATCTGAGAGAAAGCGAAATGGTGCTGGAAGATAACTGAACCACCTCAGCTTCTCGTGTGCAAAGGCGGTCCAGCCTTCATGAGACAAAAATACAGGGACCATCTGCACTGTGCACATGTAGAAGATTTTATCCTGTGTCTGTGATGTCTCTTCAGGAGATCTCCTTGGAGCCCTCTCTTCTCCAGGCTGGACATCCCCAACTCTCCCAGCCTGTCTCCAGATCAGCAGAGGTCCAGCCCTCAGAGCATCTCTGTGACTTCCTCTGGATTTGCTTCAGAATACTGAGAGCTGTTGATGAGAGGGGCTGGGATGGACATGTATGGGGTGATGCCTACACACCCTGGGGGATTGCCAAGCCCGTGGGAGGGCAGCCACCATGCCTGTGCTGGCTGGCACAACATGGAATCTGCTGACACATGAGAGGGATTTGTCATTGGAGACCTCAGAGCTCTGAACAGCTGGGGGAGAGTTCAACACCTGCCTGGGGTGCTCTGGATGGCTCCATGTTTTATTCCATCCTTCAGCAAAACATAGCCCTGGGATTTCCTTGGACAGAGGGGACCATTGGCCTCCTGCACTGTTTTTTCTGACTGTTCCTGTGGTCTGATGATCCCATCCCATCCCACCCCATCCCATCCCACCCCATGGCAGAAGACAGCCCTACTCCACCACCAGCATGATCTGCTGTGCCAGCGCTGTAAACTGGCATTTTCTAGGTGTTAATCCCAGATCCTAACAATGGCAGGGAGGAAGGGGTGTAGGATATACTTTTTTTCCTTGGCCTCCAGGGATTGAAATAGAAGATGAAAGTCAGTTCTGTCCTATCCAGTTACTGCAACACAATTAAACTGGGCCATTTTCACTGACAAACTTGACCTGTTGCCAATTTGCTTTGTCTTCCACAGCCTGAACCTCCTTAACTCAGAGGGCAGCAGGAGATTTTCCAGGACCCCTGTGCTGCCCTCCCCTCCAGCCAGAGCCCTACACCATAACCCAGGTGTCTCTCCTCCCCAGGCCACCCCTTTCCACACCCCAAGTCTTCTCCCACTGCACACACACTCTCAGGCATTTCCAAACAACATTATGTTAAATCAGGCAATTTGACAGATTTTAACAAAAAATCTTTTTAACAAATTTCACAAATTTCCTCCCTTCCTCCTGGTCATGGACACTTCCCTATGCCAATTCCCAAGCAAGCCCTCATGTTCCAACAGTTAACACTGAAACAGCAACAAATCACGTCAAACCCAAATGTCCCCCTCACCTGAAAAAGCAAATTTTTTAGTGTCACCTCTTGGGATCACCTGCAAAACAGTGGTCACTGGGATGACTGGTCCTACATAAAAGCATTTCCCTCTCCAGGCAGGTTTGTCCTGCAGCACCTGCACTTCCGCACCACAGGGAAATTTTCCACTGGTGAGGAAATCAAGGCAGAGCCCTTGTGGTGAGGGGCATGGCACTCACTGTCCCCCAGCCCATGTCAAGCACCACATATAGAAGGTGAAAGCTGCTCCTTTATTCTCAGAGCCAGAGTGAGGTCCTAGGCTGCCCAGGACAGGGGTGGGAAGGAACAATTTAACCCCTTGTTCAGCTCTCCAAAATCAAGCTTCAGTTATTTTTCCTACTGGTGCAATTTTCATTCCCACTCATCCCAATATTTAGAAGGGAATAAGGGTATCTATGCCACAGTCAGGAGAGGACCCTCCTATATAAACTCCACAAATATCCAGAAAGAGAAATATCCAAGTGCTCTGTGGTAGTTACAGATTGATCACCCAGCTGGAAGACCCAGGGTACAGCTGGGTGACCTGGAATAGATCTGGAATCAGAGCCAGAGCAGAGCAGTGCTCCACAATACTTGGCACTGCTTGTGCTGCCAAAACTCTCCAGCTCTGGCACAGCAGATGCGAATCCTGCCTGCGACATGAAACCAGCCCATGACCACATGGGTCAGCTGCTGCAGAATTGCCGTTTTTCATGTTTTGGTTCAGCCTGCCATGAAAACTAGGGAAACCAGACACTTCCCAGGCTTCCACGCACAAAGCACATAGCAAATACTCTTAGTACTGTGGTTAATAAATGTTACAGAAAAGCAGGACTGTCTCCCACTAAGGCACAACACAAAAAGAGGAAAAGGACTGACATGAAGCTCTTGAGCTCCAAGCAAACTCTTAAAGGATTTGCCAGGTGCAGAGAGGGAGATAAATATACCCAAATCAAACTAAAAGAAGGAATTTTAAGTGAACAATAAATGCAAAACAAATGGCACGGGGTAAAACTTGCTTCTCAATGTGATTTCCACAGAGCAGGAAACATTTTTATTCCACAAGAACCACAGACTGTTTAATCTTTTGCATAAGAAGAACTGAAAGGATCAAGAGTCCAGAGATCTCCAAAGGAGAGGGAGGGAAAAAAAAAAGAAAAGAAAAAATGCAGCCCGTGGCATTGCTGTCACTGCACCGGCCCCTACAGCAGCCTCCTGCGAATCCCAGCTCTGCTCCCAGCCCTGCCCAGGGATGTTAGAGAAGGGGCAGGTAGAAAATCCCTGGCACCAACACAGGTTTTGGCTTTACTAGTATCACCAGGATTTTATGGGACACCCTGTTTCCTCCCGGAGTGCCAGGACCAGCTCCCTGGTCTCTCCAGGACAGCTATTCTTCCTCAGCAAGTGCACGCCTTTCTCAGGTTTTGTGTTTTCCATCCCGTCCCTCACTCAGCCCGGGGGAAGGGGGGGGTTTGAGGTGTGCTCCCGCAGCAGCAGTGGGGGACGTGACTTACGTCTATCGAGTGCTCCCGCTGCAGGAGCCTCCTGGTGTCCTTGTCGTGGTGGTTGAGCGCCGTGTCACAGTTTTGTGGGCCAGGTAAGGAGTTTTCTGATTGGTTTGTCTGACTGCGCTCCACGGGGATGCTCCCATCCGCATCCACCACATCCAGCTCCTTTTCCAGCTCCTCCATCTCCTCTGGAGACAAAGTAGACAATAAATTGTCTATATCTGGATCTTCACTAACTTGTCGCCGGTATTTGGCCACTTTGGACATCTTGGCTCTCTGGCGAGACACGGTGGCGGTTGTGTGGTACCCAAAGCAGGAGAAAAAAAAGAAGCCGAAGCTCCAAGGCTGCTTCCCGAACGGCAGCAGGTGCTGAAGTGTTAAATCTCAGCAGCTCTCCAGCCCGAGATACGGTGGTTATCCAGAGGGGACACCCCTCGGTCCAAGAGTTGGCCAATAACAGGATCCAGTGGCGGTTCGGGCGCTGGGAAGCCAATGGAGCCCGGCGGGAGGCGGGGAATGGTGCTATCAGAGGAGCCTGAAACCCGAGGACATTCCAGGGAACCGTGCAGAGCTACATGACCAAATTTAGTCCGGAGCATTTCGCCTTTTAAAGGCAATGGGCCAACCTAGTGAGAAAACAGGGAAAAATGCACGAGCTGGCAGGCCGGGAATGGGGGGTGGAGGAGGCAGCCTCAGCCTGTGTCATGGAGGATAGGGGGCTACTAAAGTGGGCAGCGTGGCTACAAAGGGATGGGGGGAGCCTCTGCTGTAACAGTGACAGCTCTTGGCTAAAATCGGCAAGGAAGCACCCACTCCAGAGGAAGTTTTCCTCTTTCTCCCGCTGCAGCATGGGATCGGTGCTGTTAGCCGACGCGCTCTGCCCCACAGGAAAGGGCTGGAGGTGGTGGCGGTGAGGCAGACTGCTTCCATCGGAGGGATGGAGGCAGCAGGTAGCGAGTGCTCCGGGCTCTGCATACCTGACTCCACGGGGATTGTCAGAGCTCCTACCGACCCGCAGACCCTGAGGGGCTGTTCCCGCAGCTGCTCTTCCTCACACACTCCCACCTGCCCTCACCAAGCCCCAAAGACATCCCTTTCTTCTGCACAGAGGGAATTCCTGAATCTCCCCTGCTCCTGGTCCAGGCAGTGACCTAAGCCTGGACTTTAGCTGGCAGCACCACCTTTCCATTTCCCTAATCCATACAGAAGTTGAACTGGCACGTGGCAGTTCTCCCACAGGGATAGGAGACAGGCTTTTCTCTCCAAGTTTACAGGCAGCCTTACCCCATGTCCAGCATTTTGTATACATTTGTTATCCCGCCAGCTTCATCCTGGTTTTCTTCATCCTTTATCATCCTCCTAATATTTACTGCCTGCTCCCAGGCCTCTCTCTGCTGATCCAAGCAAGGAACCCTTTGGTGTTTTTTGACAAAACAGGCTCCCCTAGGATTTTCCTCAGCCTAATCACCTCCTCTGCCTGTCTTCCTGGCCAGATCCCACCCTGCACACAGGCACTAGGTGCTCCAGATGAATCTCCTAGTGACAAACTAGACATTCCCCATCCTGACAGGAAATGTACATTCTTGGTGCATTCCAGAATTTCCTTTATCTCCAGCACTGCAGTGCCCAGGTCGTGCTCATATCCTTCCTATGACTCATCAGCACGGCTGAGATTTTTTCCAGATTGTAAAAGAACTTGTTGGTTTTAGTTTCTAAGTGCACGAACTTAAACACTGCTGTGGTGAATTCCATCTCCCTCACTTCTGTTTCCCTGATCCTGCAACCAGGGGGTCTTAGTGCTTGCTTGCACTAGGAGGGATGCAGGCATTCTCTTCCCCAGCTGGCTTCACACACAGAGTCATGGAATGGTTTGGGTTGGAAAGGGACCTTAAAGCTCACCATGTTCCAGCCCCTACTATAGGCAGGGACACCTTCCACCTATCCCAGGTTGCTCCAAGCCCCATCCAGCCTGACTTTGGACACTTCCAGGGATCCAGGGGCAGACCCAGCTTCCCTGGGCAACCTGTGCCAGGGCCTCACCACCCTCACAGGGAACAGTTTCCTCCCAATATCCCATGTAACCCTGCCCTCTGGCAGTGGGAAGCCATTCCTCCTTGCCCTGTCCCTCCAGTTCCTGATGAAAAGTTCCTCTCCATCTCCTTCAACTCTCCTACCCCAACGCTGCCACAGCTGTGGCAGTGCTGAGGGCAACAGAAACCACACTGAATTTAGTCTTTGCCTGAATTTGCCTGAAATTGCCTGAATTTACCTGAAAGATGGCTTTTGGTGCCATCTTTGCCTGAAGAAGCCAGGTGAGTGTCTTGTTTGTTCCACCTTAATACAGCCCTGAATCTCTCTTAAGGTCCTGTCTGGTCCCTTTTCAGGATACAAGGCTGGACATGTTTTAACACTGTGTGTTTTGGAAGAGAAATTTGAGTTACAGAGTCTGGGGGTGGAAGAAATTAACTGACCTAGGGTGGACCTCAGTGGGTGTCAGGCTCTTCTCCCAGGGAACAAGAGACAGGACAAAAGAAAATGGCCTCAAGTTGCACCAGCAGAGGTTTAGGTTGGATATTGCGAAAATTTCTTCCCTGAAAGGATTTCTCAGTCTTGGCACAGCTGCCCAGGGCAGTGGTGGAGTCCCTATTCCTTGGAGGAATTTACTGGGTTAGTGGTAGTCCTGGGGCAATAGCTGGACTTGATGATCTTAGAAGGCTTTTCCAATATATACAAGCCTATTATTGTATTCTATAAATGTCCAACCTTCCAGTATTTCTATGGTATTGTTGTGCTCAGTCATCAAGTGCTTATAAGAGGTGAGCAACAAACTGGAAGCTAATTTCCCAGCTGGAAAGCACACAACAAAAAGGTAGTGAGGAATCACATCTTTGTGTCGGCCTCTTCTTGGAACAATCCAAGCATTCCCAGGTGTGCCATCCCTGGCTCAAGGGACAGGACATGTAGACAGCCCCAGGGACAATCTGCAGTGCTAAGCTAGAGAAAGAATCCTTCTGCTAAAAGGGAAATCTTGAATTTTCTCTGTCTGCCTTTCCTTCATAGTAAATTGTTGTAAACTTTCCCGTGTTGTAACTAGGTTTTCAACAGAATATAATCGCTATCAACACCTTGATAAAATCTCTATTTTGTCATTCCCAAACCTTGATTCTTGTGATGAGAGGTACCGCACACCAAATTCCCTAAGAAGCTGTGAATGTGGCCTGGGAGACTCCAAGTTTCTCCTGAAGGATCACCCATCCTTTCCTGATCTAGGAAAAGATCACCCACTCCTCCCCTGCACTGCAGAGCCAGGCAGAGGTAGCACAGAGCATAATTTTGTGAGGAAATATTCCTACATTAGCAGAAAGTCAGGGAGAGAAGCAGGGGACACCTCAAACTTGTCATGGTTCGGAGTGGATGGTCTCACTGTGATTTATGTTGGCTGTCACACAGTCCTTTTTAACTGGGATATTGGCACAGTTCTGTTAGACCATATTCCACAGGGTTCTTGGGGCTGTATAAAGAAAACAGTAGAAAAAAAATTTGTGTTTTCACCCCAGAATTAGAGAAGCTTGGATATGTCTGCATTGACTGGTCCTTCATGGGCTACCAACAGCTGGGAAGGGGGATGTGTTTACAGACCCTTGGGCCATGCTCTGAAGCTGGTTCCAGCCACCACAGTGGAATAGTGATATACAGAATCCCAGAACCCCAGAATTTCTGGGGTTGGAAGGGACCTCTGGAGATCATCCAGTCTGGCCCCCTTGCCCAGGCAGGGTCACCTGGTGAAACAGGAACACTTCCAGGTGGGTTTGGGGTATCTCCAGAGAAGGAGACTTCACACCCTCCCTGGGCAGCTGTTCCAGTGCTCTGCCCTCCTCCGTGCAGCGAAGTTCTTCCTCATGTTGAGGTGGAACTTCTTGGGGTTTAGTTTATGGCCATTGCTTCTCATCCTATCACTGGGCAGCACTGAAAAGAGTCCATCACTATCCTCTGACACCCCTTGGAGGTATTTGTCTGGATTGATGGGATCCCCTCTCAGTGTTCTCTGGACTCACCAGGCCCAGCTCCTGCAGTCTTTCCTCATCAGAGAGATTCCAGGCCCTGTGTGGTTCAGAGCACTGGGATGCTGTATGGCTTGGCACACAGGCCCTCTTGGCAGCTCTGAATCCATTAGTCCTGGATTTATCGGAGTCCCATCTCCATAGCAAACAACACCTTGAGGGCACTAATGAGTATTTCCAAACCACTGGCTTTGAAGCACCACAACAAGCCGTTAAAGAGGAGGGACAGAGACAGAGTCAGATTAAGCAGCTTTTCCAGGCATATTTACAAACTCTGGTAGAGCTGTGAAAACTTTCTGTGCCCACACCTCTCTCATCGCCACCTGGGACAATCCATCTGCTTTTATTCTTCCCTATTAGCTGATAAAGGACAACTGAACTTTGAATGGATTTTTCTAGTCTGTTATCTTTCTCTTTCTTTCAGAGCCCACAGAAGGAGAGGCTGAAAACTGATCTTTTTATCATTTTCTAAGCTGTTCACTGAAGAGTGACATTTCCCCTGGCCACAACAGGCGGTGGATGTCTTGTGGCCCGGGGAGAAATCTCCTCTCTCCCAAACCCAGTGCATCTTTATCCAAAACCTCCTCTCCAGACACATGCTTACATGACAACAAGAGTGGAGAAGGTGATATATTTTGGGAAACTAACCAAATCCTGGCTATGGGGAAACTCAGAAATCCCAGAAAGCCCTTGGATATCTTCTGTGAGCCTGCCCGAGGGTGGCACAAAGTCCCTTGGATGATGCAGGAGCTCCTGCACCTCAGGGACTCATCATGTTTCTCCATCTCTCCTACAGCTTGTGAAAGGTGGGACCAGAATGACCATTTAGCCTGATTTAATCTACCACTCATAAGGGGAAAGAATATGGGCTACAGCAAAGGATTGCCACCCTGATAAGGGTTGGATCAGTCACAACATAATAGAATTGCTGAGTTTGGAAAAGCCCTGTAAATTTCCCCAGCAATGCCAAGGCCACGACTAGCCCATGTCCCGAGGTGCCACATCCATATGTTTTTTGAATCCCTCCAGGAGTGGTGATCACACCACTGTCCTGGGCAGCTGTGCAGTGCCTGACCAACCTTTCCAGGAAGAAATTTTCCCCAGTATCCAAACTGACTAAAATGGCCCAGCTTAAGGCCATTTCCTCTTGGACTGTCCCTTGTTCCCTGGCAGCAGAGCCTGACACCTCCCTCCCTCCTCTCTCCT